GTCTGTTAACTCTGCTGTTTTTGTTTGTTTGTTTGTTTTTTCTGTGCAGAAGCTTTTTAGTTTAATTAAGTCCCATCTATTTGTCTTTGCTTTTGTTGCATTTGCTTTTGGGTTCTTGGTTATGAAGTCTTTGTCTAAGCCAATGTCTAGAAGGATTTTTCCGATATTTTCTAGTTTTTTTTTTTTTTTTTTTTTTTGAGGCAAAGTCTTGTTCTGTCACCCAGGCTGGAGTGCAATGGCATGATCTTGGCTCACTACAACCTCTGCTTCCCGAGTTCAAGCGATTCTCCTGCCTCAGCCTCCTGAGTAGCTGGGATTATAGGCATGTGCCACCATACCTGACTAATTTTTGTATTTTTAGTAGAGACAAGGTTTCATCATGTTGTCCAGGCTGGTCTCAAACTGCTGACCTCGTGATCTGCCCACCTCAGCCTCCCAAAGTGCTGGGATTATAGGTGTGAGCCACCGTGCCTGGCCTATCTTCTAGAATCTTTATGATTTTAGGTCTTAGATTTAAGTCTTTGATCCATCTTGAGTTGATTTTTGTATAAGGTGAGAGATGAGGATCCAGTTTCTTTCTTCTACATGTGGCTTGACAATTATCCCAGCACCATTTCTTGAATAGAGTGTCCTTTCCTCACTTTATGTTTTTCTGTGTTTTGTTGAAGATCAGTTGACTGTAAGTATTTGGGTTTATTTTTGGGTTCTGTATTCTGTTTCATTGTTCGAAGTGCCTATTTTTATACCAGCACCATGCTGTTTTGGTAACTGTTACCTTACAGTATAGTTTGAAGTTGGGTAATGTGATACCTTCAGATTTGCTTTTTGCTTATTCTTGCTTTGGCTCTGTGGGCTCTTTTTTTGGTTCTATATGAAATTTAGGATTTTTTTCTAGCTCTGTGAAGAATGATGATGATATGTTGATGGGAATTGCATTGAATTTGTGGATTGATTTTGGCAGTATGGTCATTTCTACAATATTGATTCTACCCATCCATGAGCATAGGATGTGTTTCCATTTGTTTGTGTCATCTATGATTTCTTTCAGCAGTGTTTTGTAGTTTTCCTTAAAGAAGTCTTTCACACCCTTGGTTGGGCATATTCCTAAGTATTTTTTTTTTTTTTGCAGCTATTGTGAAAGGGGTTGAATTCTTGATTTGATTCTCAGCTTAGTCGCTGTTGGTGTACAGCAGAGCTACTGATTTGTGTACACTAATTTTGTATCCTGAAACTTTGCTGAATTCATTTACCAGCTTAGGAGCTTTTGGGAGGAGTCTTTAGGGTTTTTTAGGTATACGATTATATTATCAGAAAACAGTGAGCGTTTGACTTCCTCTTTACTGATTTGGACGCCTTTATTTCTTTCTCTTGTCTGATTGCTCCAGCTAAGAATTCCAGTACTGTGTTGAATAGAAGTGGTGAGAGTGGGCATCCTTGTCTTGTTCCAGTTCTCATGGGGAACACTTTCAACTTTTCCCCATTCACTATAATGTTGGCTATGGGTTTGTCATAGATGGTTTTTATTGCCTTAAGGTATGTCCCTTCAATGCCAACTTTGCTGAGGGTTTTAATCATAAAGAGATGCTGGATTTTGTCAAATGCTTTTTCTGCATCTATTGAGATGATCATGTGATTTTTGTTTTTAATTTTGTTTATGTGGTGTATCATATTTATTAACTTACGTATGTTAAACCATCCTTGCATCCCTGGTGTGAAACCCACTTGATCATGGTGACACACACTTTAAATAAGCAGACACAGACAAGTTGAAAGTAAATATATGAAAAGGATATACCATGGAAACACTAAGCATAAGAAAATGGAAGTGGCTATATCAATATCAAAAAAGTAGATATCAAAAAAGAGTATTGCTAGAGATAAGAGGGGATGTTTTACAATTATAAAAAGCCAATTCCTCATAAAGACATAAAATACTAAATATATATACACCTAATAATAGAAATTTAAAACACATGAAGCAAAAATTGACTATAGGAAGAAACTAAGGGGAGATCTAGGGAAAGAAACAGACAATTCCATTATCACAGATGGAGATTTTAATGCCCTTCTGTCACTAACTGATGCAGCAAGTAGACAAAAACAACCAATCAAAGAAATAAATCAACACACAAAAAACCCCAGTAAGGGCTTAGAAGATTTAAACAGCATTACTAAGCAACTTGATTTAATTTATATTTGTAGAACAATACACTCAGCAATAGCATAATACACATTCTTTTGACATGTTCAAGATAGATGATAGACTGGGACATTTAAATCCATCCAAATAATATGGAGTATGTCCTCTGATCATGATGCAATTATATTAGAAATTGATAACAATTAGACATTTAGAAAACCCTATTTGGAATTTAGGCCATAGATGTCCACATAATCCATGGGGCAAAGAATAAATCACACGAGGAAAGAGAAAATAGTTTGAATTGACTGATAATAAAAACACAACATGCAAAATTATTAGGATGCAGATGAAGAAACAGCCATAAAAGCAACTAAGAAATTGGAATAGATTATGTATCTGTTAAAGAAACTGAATTCATTATCAAATGCTTTCTCACAAAGAAAACTCCAAGCTCACACTATTTCATTAGTGAATTCTGCCAAACATTTAAGAACTAAGTAATACCAATTTTACACAAACACTTTCCGGAAATAGAGGAAGAGAGACTATTTTCCAGTGTATTTTAGGAGGCCAGCACAACCCTGATTCCACATCTGACGATTCCAAGGAAAGAAAATTACAGAACTATTATTCACAAATAGAGATGCAAAAATCTTTAACAAAATATTATAAGTTGAATAAAAAATATATAAAATGGATACTAACTCATCACAAAGTAGGGCTTACTTAGGTATGCAAGTTTAACATCTAAAAAATCAACCAGTATAACTCACTGCATTAACAGCACAAAGAGAACAATGACGTGATCATCTTAATAGTTCCAGAAAAAGCATTCAGCAGAATCCAATACCCATTTATAAATTTAAAAAAATATCAGCATACTAGGAATGAAAGGGAACTTCCTTACTCTGATAAAGGGCATCTGTGAAAAGCCTACAGATAATATCATATTAAACGGTGAAACATCAAATTATTTCCCCACTTGCATTGGTGGAAGTATGGCCACTCTCACCACTTATATTTAACTTTGCTCTGTACTTAGTCTTATAAGTGAATTTGTCAAGATCACATGACTCAAAATAAACATACGAAATTGTATTTCACATGAAATTATATTTCTATAATAATGAACAACAAGAAAACGACATTAAAACAGTAATATAATTCATGATATAAAAATCTAGAATTAACCTAATCAAAGATGTGCAAGAAACCTCTACATGGAAAACTACAAACGTGGCTGAGAGTAATAAAGACTAGGAGAGATATACCATATTCATGGATATAATATTCAATATATTTAAGATGTCCATTTCCACAAGCTGATCTATAAATTCTAAACAATTTTAATCAAAGTCCTAGCAGGCTATTTTGCAGGGGAGGGAAGAAGAAATTGACAAGATGATTCTAAAATGTATATGAGTATGCAAAGGATTTAGAACAGCCAAAACAATCTTGAAAAATAACAAGGTGGATGTGTGTACACTACTCAGTTTCAAGACTTACTAAAAAGCGATCATAATCAAGACTGTGTGGTTTTGGTGAAAGAAGGAATAGATTGACTTGCACAGATCAACAAATCCCACATATATGATCAATTTATTTTCAACAAGTTGCCAAATTTAATCAAGGACAAAAGGAGAGAGTTTCAAAAAGTGGTGCTGGAAAAACTAGGTATTAGTATGAAAAATAATGGACCTTAGTTCCTACATCATACCATACACTTGTGGTTCTCACACTTTAGTGTGCAGCAGAATCCCAAGGAGGGCTCATTAAAATCCCGATTTCTGGGCCCCGCCCACAGAGTTTCTGATTCAGCAAGTCTTGTGTGGCTTGTGTGGACAATCCCAATGTCCAGCAACAGGTGGATGAGTGAGCAAATGTGGTTTACTCATCCCAAGGAATATAACTATGCAGTTAAAAACAAAGGGCTTAGTGATACACTGAACATGTATGGATCTCAAAGACATGATGTTGAGAGACAGAAGCTGGACACAAAAGCGCCTGTACTGCATGACTCCATTCATAAGGAACTCTAAAACAGGTGCATTCAGTCCGTGGCGCTGCACATCAGAGCAGAGGCCGCCTGGGTGGGAGCCGGGGGCTTTGGGCGATGGCTGAAGGCACGTGGGGGAACCTGCTGGGCTGACAAAAAATGTTCTATGTCTTGATCCTGGTGGCGGCTACCCAGGTTTGTACAATGGTCAAAACTCTTCGACACTGTACACTGACTTATTAAATGTCAATAGAAGAAGAGGAAAACGATGACCCCAGAAAAGGACAAGACAGAATCTGAAAACAGGAGGATTGAACTGTCCTGAATGTAACAGGGGCTGCGGAATCTGAGCCACGGGGGCTCGAACCAGTACGGGCAGGGTTTCTGCGTGGATGAACGAGGCAGGATTGGAAAAAACCTAGACTGTTCTTTTCTCCAGTGAGTTGAGATTCCTCAGTAAAAGATGGGGAAATTAGGAATGAATGCACGAAGGCACCAGTGCATACGCAATCGCAGAGTTCAGCTGTGTGGATGTGGACCAGGGAGTAACAAGACAGAAGAGGAAAGAGCAAAGCTCTCTAAGGGCCCAGTGTGCAGAAGTCACTGGCCTCAGGCCCAGGCTCCCCTGCCAAGTGGCGGGATGGATATAGAGGCCAGGCCTGATGGAAATCTTCTTCTCTGCATACCCTCGCCCTGCCCCCACCCCCACAGGGAGGCCAGCACTGGGCTTGATCCGTTACCCAGACAGAAAGAGCTGGTTTGGGTATCCTGAGCCTGCCTGACTCCCAGAAGTACCTTAGGCAGGACCTGCGACCCAGCCGTATCCCAGACAGCAGCAGCCCGCCCTGGAGACGTCCTCACCTGGCCCACCTGCTCCTGGAGCTGGGCCTTCTCTTGCCCCAGCAGGGCTGCCTGCTCCTCTAGCTGCTCCTGCTGCTGCTCCAGGCGCCCACAGGCCTGCTGCAGGCCCCTGCGCTCTGCCTGCTCCAGCACCAGCTGCTGTTCCGCCTGTGCCAGCTGCTCCCTGGCCCGGACCTGCTCCTGTTCCAGAGTCTTCTGCTGCTCCCGCAGCTGGTCCCGCTCCTGCTCCAGCTGCCACCAGGTGTCAGGGGCTCTGCATCCACTCCCCGCACCCTCAGTCCCTGTAGGCCAGCCACCCCTGAGGCCTGCCCCAGCGGCACTGTCTTCCCTCCCTCAGGCCTGGCCCAGGGGCACTGTCTTCCTTCCCTCAGGCCTGCCCCCGGGGCACCGTCTTCCCTCCCTCAGACTTGGCCAGGGCCAGTCAGGCTCTCTTGTCCTCAAAACCTTGGACCAGGAGAGGAAGTGATCTGGGAGAATGGAAGGAAGGCCCAGGGCTGGGAGACCCACAGCCACCTGGAAACCAGGTTCCGGCGAGGCCCGCCCCGCTGGCCCTTGTCTCACCTGGAGGGTCAAGTGGTTCAGGTCACTTTTGTCTTGAGCCAGCGCCTCCATCAAGGCGGCCATTGCAGCCAGCGAGTCCCTCTGCTCCACTCCCTCTGACTTCAGCCGCCTCACAAGAAGCTCCAGGTCCGCATTGCTGCACTCGGCCTGGGGCAGGGAGGGGGATGCCAGGGAGGGACCTTTAGCTTCCAGGGCAGGGCTGTTGCCAGTGGGAAAGGAGTGAGCCTGGAGCTGCGGAGGTGTGCAAGCCAGAGCTCCTGGGCGGACATGGTGGGAAGGTCACCACAGTGGGGAGGTCTCAGGACCAAGGGTGGCTCCAGACACTGAGGCTGCAGCCAGAGGAGGTGGCTGGTGGGCCAGGGAGAAGCCACGAAGAAGCAGACGTGGCCAGCAGGGTTGAGAGCAGCTGGGCCAGGCTGGTGCCTACTGGTTGGGGATGGGAGAGGCCTTTGGTGACTTTGGGAGCTCTGGTGATGGGCTGAGGGTCCCGGCAGGCAGGAGAGAGGGAGTGGGAGGCCAGGTCAGTGAGGCTGGGGTGGGTGGGGGCAGACAGGAGCGGGGGTGGGGTTGGGGGGAGCAGAGGCGTACCCGCGCCAGGGCGCTGCGCAAGCCCTCCCTCTCGCTCTCCACGACATCCCGCTGCAGCTGTGCTGTGCTCAGTGCCTCCCGGGCTGATGCCAGCTCCTCTCTGAGCCCAGAGACTTTCTCCTCCAGCTGCTGCAGGCGGCCTTGACTGAGGCCCCAGACCAGAGGGTGGGAGGTCCCTCAGGGTGAGCAGTGGCTGCCCCATGGGATTTCAGGCAGGCAACCGCCTGCAACTCCCTCCAAGCCCAGGGAGGCCCAGGAGGAGCATGGAGTCCCTGGAGGACCAGGAAGGCAGGGAACCCTTCGCTTCCGGGCTTTGTTTCTGGGTCAGGGGAGGCACAGGTGCCTCCAGGGGGACAGGATGGGTGGGGCCCCACATCTGCTGGGCCCACAGGGTGGTGGATGTGCACCCAGGTGGGGCACTGGGCCAGAGGGAGTGAGGATTGGTCTGGAGGATGGTGCAGCCTGGGGAGGAGCCTGGAGAGCCTCCGCCCCCCGCCCTGTCAGGGCCACCACCACACCCTGAGATGAGACAGGTAAAGAAGCAGACCCGTGGCCCAAGGCCAAGTGGCTGATGGTGGCAGAGCGGGGTCTCTCCTGTGGGAGGGGCCCTGTACACCCGCCACCGCGGCGCACCTGGTCTCCAGTGCCCTGCAGCTCCGCTCCCTCTGCAGAGCCAGCTCCTCCCTCCGCTCTGCCTGCAGCAGGAGGCTTCTCTGTAGCTCCGTGGCCTCGGCCTCCAGCCCCTGCTTCTCCGCATCTGCAGCATCTGCCTTCCCTTTCAGCTCCTCCACCACCATCTCCAGAGCAGCCTTCTCCCTGGGGTTGGAAGGGGCAGAGTTGGGGCAGCCCTGGACACATTCAAGGTGCACCATGTGCCTTGGTGGGCAGTTGGGGCTGGGTGGATGCCAGCCTGTGAGACTGCATGGACAGAGGGAGCCCGAGAAGCACACAGGGTCTCACTGGCGGGTGTGGCCCACCCCGGCCCATGCTCAACTTGTGCTCACAGAACTCTGCTGGAAGGAAAGGACCCCTCCCCGGCTGGCATCCCCTCCAGCTCTAGAGGTGCTTGTCCTGACAGCAGCCCTGGGCCCTCAGGATCCCCCACTCCCTGTGCAAGGCCACGCAACCCCTTCACCCCGTTACCTCCCCAGGAGCTTGCAGGACACCCGGCACTGCTGCACCTCGAGCCTCTGGGCCTCCAGCTGGCCCCGAAGGGCCTCTCGTTCCCGTGCCTGCTCCCGAGCCCGCTCCTGCTGGAGCTTCTGTGCAGCCCACAGCTCCTGCCGGCACTCGGACAGCTGCTCCCGGAGCCCAGCTGCCAGTGCCTGGGAGGACTCCAGCTGCAGACACAGCTCCTGCTTGAGTGGGGTGCGGTGTGGGTCCCTCTGACCTAGGCAGGCTTTGCCCACTGAGGCCCACCAGGGCTTGAGACTCCCCAAAAGGACCCCCACACACACTGGAGCCCCTCCCTGGGGCCATGGGACTCAGGGGCAGGCCCCATAACTACCCTTCAGCCTGAGGGGCTCATGTTTCTGCCCTCAGGGAGACGGGGGTCCTGCGGGCTGCGGCTGCCCACCTGTTCCCGCCGCCGCTGCCTCTCGATGGCTGCCCGCACGGCCTGCAGTGCAGGGTCCAGGGTGGCTGGGGAGTGGGTATGTGGTGGGGACGCCCCTTGACGTGGGGATGTGGCACGTTGGGGGCTCTTCAGTGGGCGCCGTGGCTCCCCCAGTTCAGTGATGCTGCTCCATGTCAGCTCCAGGCACTGGGCTTCCTCCTGGGCCACCTTCGAGGTGCAGAGAGGAAGGGATAGAGGGGCCCAGAGCACAGGGCCATGATTTGATGGGGACCATGCAGACAGTCCTGAGGGTCCCTGTGGGCCACCTCCATCTTCGCCACTGGGAGGACAGGCGAGGGGCCGCACCTTCCTGATGCGCCTCAAAGTGCACTGCAGGGACCCCGCCTTGCCCTGCAGGCCGTCCGCCACCCCCTTGGGCCACCACTGCACCAGGCTTCCTGAGGCAGACAGACCTCCACCACACAGCCACTCCCATCCCGCCCACCAACCAGGTTCTGTAGGTCGGTTCTGAGGGCAGCGATGGTCCTCGCCTTCTGCTCCTTCTGCTCTGTGAGCTTCTCCACCAGCAGCGTTTGCTCCGAGAGTCTGGGAGGAGTTGGGGATGGGGGGAGGGTGAAGGGCAGGGCCCAGAGGATGGGCACCCAAGCATGCCCTGGCTCTGCCCAGACTCCTCCGTGCAGTGACCCCCCTGCCGGTGCTGGGTAATGCCTCTGTGTGAGTGGCCTCCGTCCCTGGTCTAAGCACGCGTCTCTCCTGCCACAGAGCCTCCAGTGGCTCCCACGGTCTCAGAAGTCAAGGCCCACACCCTGACCAGCTCTCCAGCCTCAGATGCAGTGACTGCCCGAGGCTCTGCCCCGTCCTTACGGCACAACAGAGGGAGTGCCCACTGCAGGCCTTTGTCCGGCCAGTCCTTCTGCCTGGAGCACCTGTCACCATCAGTCTAACAATAAGTGACTTTACTGTTCCTTCCTTCCCAGGACCCACCTTCTTACTGAAGACCCCAGGTCCCCCTTCCTGTGGCTCAGGCCCTGGTGTGCTGCCCCTGCAGCCCTTGGGCCCCCATGTCCTGTCCTGCTCGTCTGGGGCTAGGTTGTGGTATGTTTGACTTGGCTAGACCCCCTGAGGGTAGGGAGGGCTTCTGCCTGTCAGCCTGGCAGGGTGTTTGTGGCCAAGTGGGCCCCGGATCCCCGGTTGTGAGGTGTCGGCCCCACGGCCAGCAGGTTAGACGTCCACTGGGGAGCCGCCTCCCCACTTCCTGCTGAAGCTGCCCTCAGGAGACCTCTGAGCCCCCGATGTGGGTGGTGGGTCCGAAACCTTCCACAGTCACGGCGAGGCTCGCAGACCCCAGAGACAGTGTGGGTGTCCTTCACGTGGGGCAGGAGGAGGCCTGGTCCCTCTTCCTGCCTCCGTTTTTAAATAATTCACCTAAGGTGAGCTCTTCTCCTGGAACAATGTGCCCTGCTTTAAGTCCTGAAAACTCCAATTCCGGGTGCTGACCCCCAGGACACAAACCCAGTGAGTTCCCTGCTGTGCTCCCCGAAACCCTCACTGTAGGAGACTCCAGTGCCTGCCTCCTGGGCATTAGGGGAGTGCCCTGCAGCCACTGGGATGGTGATTCTGAAGAGTGTGCACCACCAGTGATGCCAGGGCCCCACCTCCCCTGGTATGGTGTGACCACATCTGGGATCCACAGCTGCTGGGCAGGCTGGATGGGCCCCACCCCTCCGGGCCCTCCCTGTGCCAGCCTGCTGACCCTGGGCGCCCACCTGGCCTGGAGCGCCACCTTCTCTGCATCCCAGCGGACCTGCAGCTGCAGCATCTCCCCAACCTTGTCCCGAAGCTGCTGCCCCAGGGTGCTGGCCGTGCTGCTGGCCGACAGTCGCAGGTTGGAGTCGAGGTTCAGGCAGGCAGTGTGCAGGCGGCGGGCTGTCTTGGCCATGTCTGCCTGCAGGTCAGCGAGGCCCCTGGGAGACAAGGGCAGCACCTGTGGCTGACTCAGGACCCATCTGCAGAGGGAGGGCCTGGTCCCATCAGTCCCACAGAGGACCCCTCCCTGGCCATCCTCAGGAGAAGCCCCCGCTGCATGGCATTGATGGTTCCCATGTGTCACCAAATGCCAGGAAGCAGCTGGGGAGGAGTGAGCAGGGGCGGGGCCAGACTGCAGCAGTCTTCACTGAGTCATCGACCCTCTGAGCCCCTGACTCTTCCTGTGCAAGGAGCTGCTACCTACCTAAGGGCTATCGGGGTGGTATCAGGACTGACCTCCAGTGTGGCACCCAGCAAGGCTGGACAGACCACAGAAGCTCCATCTGGGTAGGTGTCCCCCACCCCACAATGTCCTGTCCACCCTCCTCTCATCTCTCCTTGGTGTCCCCCATCCACCTCCCTGGCCTGTTTGTCCCTCTCCCCGACTGCCCTCCTTGGCCGCCCTCATCACTGCTCCCACTGCCCAGCGTGAGGCCCAGCCAGGGCTGGTTGAGGAGCCAGCAGGCCAGGGCTATTGCACCCACGGAAGGGCCTGCCCCAGGCACCACTTCCCCTCTCCCGGAGGGGGCCTCAGCTCCCTGCAGCCTGGTGCCTGGCCCCAGGTGGGGCAGCCGGCCCTCACCTCTCAGTGGCTGCTCGCAGCTCCGCCAGGTCTGTTCCCAGCACCACGGCCTGTCTCCACAGGAGAAGGAGGTCCCGGGGCTTCCCCAGGCCCCCTGGCCGGGTCTGAAAGCAAGAGGCCTCCTGTCCACTCCAGGCTGGGGCGCCTTTACCATCCCTGAAGCGCACTCTTTTCCAGGTGCCATGTCCCTCTCCATGGGGGCTGGAAGTGGACCCAACATCCCAAAGTCCCCATATCTCACAGGCAAAGGAGCCATGGGCTCCCCCAACCCCACCCTGGGGCCATACTCTGCCTCTCCCTAGGAGATGACCTGGGGATATGACTACATTCAGCCCTTCCAGGCGAGCTTGCGTGCATGGAGGTGGAAGGGTGGGGTTCGTCGGCCCCTGAAGAGAGAAGGTGCTGACTCAGTCTCAGCTCCCCAGCTACTCTCAGGAACTGCTCAGGCTCAGAACACTCCAGAACCAGGCCCGGTCCCCTGCTGGGGCATGGGGCAGACATTCGGCAACACGTGGCTCCTACCCTCCCACTCTGAGGGAAGAGGATGGGCCTCCTTTCTCCAGTACAGTCTTTCTCCTTACTCTGGAGCCTCCTGAAGATGTCCAGGTGTTGGTCTGGCACTTCAAAGGTGCCAGGGACACAGAAGCAAATTAGAAGCCTCAGGACTGGGGCCACGGTTCAGCAGGGAGGAGAGTGGCAAAGCCACTGACGTTAGAAGCCTCTAGCACTGGGGTTCAGCAGAGAGGAGGGTGGGGAAGCCACTGACGTTAGATGCTTCTAGCACTGGGGCCCGAGGTTCAGCAGGGAGGAGGGTGGGGAAGCCACTGACGTTAGAAACTTCTAGCACTGGGTCCCCAGTTCCACAGGAAGGAGGGTGGGAAATCACTGCTGAGACGAGGCCAGTGATTAGGCTGCAACGGAGCCGAGTGGGAGGACTCTGTGTTGGGGACAGGAATGGGGGAACCGTGTGTGTTCAGTGGTTCCAGCCTTGCAGGGAGCTAAGATGAAAGCCAGGAGTCTCAGAGTCTCCACACCACCTTCTAGGCCCCACAGTCGCCTTCTCCTGCTCACCGACCTCTGGAACTCAGGGGGCTACTGTGTTCCTACCACCTCTCCCTGCCTGTGACAGCCCCACCCCTGCTCCTCCAGGTTGCCTTCAGGTAGAGCACTCACATCCTGCCCGTTCTCCAGAACTCGCACAGAGGACTATGACCAGAAACCAGCGGAAACAATAGAACGAGACCTTGAAGAACTTCAGATATTAGATCATCATCTCATCTTCATGAAGCTTGCCTGAACCCCTCACCTGATCCCACACCTGAGGTTCCCCCCAGCTGAGCCCATAACACCTGGCCATACACCCTCCAGAGAACACGTCCCTCTGTGCCCATTCCACCTGGCTATACACCTTCCAGAGGGCATGCCCCTCTGTGCCCATTACGCTTGACCATGCACCCTGTAGACGGTGTTACTCTCTGAACCCAGACCTGGCCATACACCCTCTGGAGGCACTCTCCTCTGTGCCCATGACCCCTGGCCATATACCCACCAGAGGGCGTGCCCCTCTGTGCCCATTACACCTGGCCATACACCCTCTGGAGGCACTCTCCTCTGTGCCCATGACCCTTGGCCATACACCCACCAGAGGGCGTGCCCCTCTGTGCCCATTCCACCTGGCCATACACTCTCCGGAGGGCGTGCCCCTCTGTGCCCATTCCACCTGGTCATACACCCGCTGGAGGCCATGCCCCTCTGTGCCCATTCCACCTGGTCATACACCCGCTGGAGGCCAGCCCTCTGTGCCCATTCCACCTGGTCATACACCGGCTGAGCTGTGCCCCTCTGTGCCTCCACCTGGTCATACACCCGCTGGAGGCCATGCCCCTCTGTGCCCATGACCCCTGGCCATACACCCACCAGAGGGTGTGCCCCTCTGTGCCCATTACACCTGGCCATACACCCTCTGGAGGCCATGCCCCTCTGTGCCCATTATACCTGACCATACACCCTCTGGAGGCCATGCCCCTCTGTGCCCATTACACCTGGCCATACACCCTCTGGATGGGACACCCCTCTGTGCCCATTCCACTTGTCTGTACATCCTCTGAGGGCACGACTCTGAACCCGTACCTGGCCATACACCCTCTGGATGGGACACCCCTCTTTAGTTAGAAAATAAAAAATCACCAAAGGCACAAGGAAACAAAGGACCGTGATCAGAAACCAGCAGAAACAACAGAACCAGACCTTAAAGAATTTCAGATGTTAGATAGTCAGACACAGGCTACAAAAAGACTATTCTTAACATGCTCCAATAAATAAATAAGAGGCTTGAAAATGTGAGTTAAGAAGCCAGGCGAGGTGGCTCTTGCCTGTAATTCCAGCATTTTGGGAGGCTGAGGCGGGCGGATCACCGGAGGTCAGAAGTTTGAGACCAGCCTGGTCAACACAGTGAAACCCCATCTCTACTGAAAATACAAAAATTATCTAGGTGCGGTGGCGCACACGTGTAATCCCAACTACTCTGGAGGCTGAGGTGGGAGAATCGTTTGAACCTGGGAGGCGGAGGTTGCAGTGAACTGAGATCTTGCCACTGCACTCCAGCCTGGGCGACAGAGCGAGACTCTGTCTCAAAAAGGAAAAAAAGAAAATGTGAGTTAAGAGTAAGCTATTTAATACATGGGAAAGAATCAAACAGAACTCTTAGTGATGAAAAATACCATATTTGCAATTTAAGCTAAGTAGGCAAATTTAACAGAGATTAGACATCAGAAGAGAAAACTGATAGACAGAAATGGAAATTTGAAGAAATTATCTAGAATATAGTCCAGGGTAATAAAAGGAACAAAACCGTGAACGGTGCCTGGGAGACAGACAGAATGGCTAACACGTCTAGCCAGAGCTCAGAGGAGAGGAGGTGGGTGGTGAGCGTCGGCAATGTTTAAAGAATATTGACTTTCCGAAAACAACAAGCGACGCAGAGGCTCCACGAGCCCTAAAGCGGGATAAACAAATAAATCTACACGCAGACACAACACAGGGACATGGCACAACCACCAAGTTGGAGCAGGGGTCTTAAGAGCAGCCTGGTGAGAAGACACATTACCTTGATAAGGAGCCAGTCAGAATCCAGGCAGCCTGGAAGCTGACTTCTCAACGGCAGCAGCGGAAGGAGAAGGAGAAAGCAGATCTTTAACGTGCCGAGAGAAAGCAGCTGTCAACCAGTGAGAAGAGTTCTCAAGGACAAAGGGAAAATAAAGACCTGGGTGATCAAATGCCAAACTGAACCCTCTCCTTCCGGCATTTGTTCTCACACAGCGGAATCAGCTTCTGTGTTCATCAGATGACCTGCCCCGCGGTCTGAGGATGAGGACGGGGACCAGGCAGTGGGGGGAACAGGAGATCTGCTCAAATGCCTCGAGCCAGTAGGCCTAGCATAGGCGATGACTCCTTGCTGATAGCACGGTCCCGCTGACGCTCTGCAGAGGCCGGTATTCCCTCTCAGGCGGTAAACCTTGGCTGGTGTGTCTGACATCTGCCTTTTAGGAGAAGCAGCTGTGGCGGGGCTCGGGGCTGGGACCTGGTCCCTGTGGGGGTGAGTGTGGCCCTTCTGGGACAGGCTTGTCTGAGGGACGTCTGTAGAGGCAGCCTGAGGCCAGAACTGCGGCTGCCCCTCCGGCTCCTGCCTCCACCTGGCACAGCACATCTTCCGGGGGGCCCCTCTTCCTGGGGAAATCCTTGCCCATGGTGCCCGTAGCGTGCAGGGGCTGGGGGTCCAGGCCCCCTTTGCTGGAGGGCTGTTGGGAACACCTTCAGGCCCTCAGAGACTGCCTGACTGGAGAGCCACGTTACCCAAGGCTACAGCAGCTTCAGGGGGTCCCACGACCATGGAGAGATCTGAGCAAGGCATGAACCCCTGGACGTCTCCCTCCCACAGGGGCTGGTGCCTGGAACCCTGTGCCCTGATCCCCTTCATGCCTCGGGGTTTCAGAAGTTGGAGTGGGTAAGGCTGCAGGGGGACCTGGGGGGCCACGGCCAGGCGCCAGGAGCAGCGGGCCAGCCCCAGGCTCCTTCCAGGGTTCCCCCTCCTGAAGTCTGGCCCGGAGTCCAGCCTGTGGAGACAACCTGCCTCTCCAAACAGAGTGGTCCACACCAGAGCCGGGATGCGGCCCCAGTGCCCCATTCTCAGAGCCCTGCCCTCCTTCTCTGGGTGGGGGGTAGTGGGGGTGCACCAGGGAGTCCCTCACTCCACAGACGGCTGTGGTCAAGCCAGGTTAGGGACATGGTGTGGCAAGAAGCTGTGGCCTTGTCCCCAAGAGGGATAGCTGCTGAGCCAGCACACCCTCACCAGGTCCCTGCCTGCTGCCCAGGCATAGGCACCCAGACAGGCAGCCGCGGGGTGGGCAAGGGTTGGGGCGCACCTGTCTCTGGGCCCAGCGCCTCAGCTCCAGCTCGCCCTGCAGGCGCTGCACGCTGCCCGTCGTCCCAGCCAGCTCCCGGGCCAGCGCGTCGTTGGCCTTCCTCATGTGCTCCAGCTGCTCCCGCAGGAGCGCGTTCACCTGGCAGAGGCCGGTGCTCCTGGACAGAGAACCCCCAGGGAGTGGCCGGGGTAGGCAGCCTCTCCTAAGAGGCGCTCAGAGTCCCCAAGTCAAGGGGCTTGAATGGAACCCCAAACCCTCTGGCCCAACTGACCCCGGCTCAGGTGCACAGCCCCTGCTCTGCCCCTGCCTGCCATGGGCCCCACCAGCACCAGGCCTCTGCCTGCCCTGCCTGCCATGGTCCCACCAGCCTCGCTCTGCCCCTGCCTGCCATGGGGCCCCACCAGCCCCTGCTCTGCCCCTGCCTGCCATGGGCTCCACCAGCTCTGCTCTGCCCCTGCCTGCCATGGGCCCCACAAGGGACTCCTAGACCGAGTGCCAGCATCAAGATGGCTCTCCCAGGTGCCAGCCCAGTGCCCTCCCCTGCCTTCCTGGCGACATCTGCTCCTCTGTCCTCCCCAGGTCCCTGCCCCGAGCCTCCCCTGGCTCTGCCTCTACAAATCCTGGCCCGCCCCTCAACGCCTGAGACAAGGTTCCAGGGACGGAGGGAGGCCCGCGGGGCTGGGTGACCCAGGAGAGGAGTTGACGCCCGGGGCGGGACGGCTCTGCTGCACCCTGGGGCCTTCCCTGCCACGAGTAGGTCCACACTTGCAGCAGTAGGGGTGCAAGTCTGCTGTGTGGGTGGACCTCGGGAGCCGCACCCCGCCAGGCCGCCGGTGGGTTCACTCACTGTCTCTGCCCACTAGCCTAAGCCTCCTCTTGGGTTATTTTTCTTCCCCTCAAAACCGAAGCCAAAGTTTCTCAGCCCTTGATTCCTTTTCCAGATTCCTGGAGGATGAAACCAAATGTGGCAATATTCTACAAACAACTTAACCTGCCCAGGTCTGGGAGACGGGTGGGCCTGGGTTACCGTGGGGGGCTGTTCGCGTGGGGGCTGGGTTAGTGAGGGGGCTGTTAGTATGGGGGCTGGGTTAGTGAGGGGGCTGTTAGTATGGGGCTGGGTTATGTGGTGCTAGCATGGGGACTGGGTTAGTGTGGGTGCTGTTAGCATGGGGGCTGGGTTACCGTGGGGGGCTGTTAGCATGGGGGCTACAATGGGGCTGTTAGCATGGGGGGCTGGGTTAGTGTGGGTGCTGTTAGTATGGGGGCTGGGTTACCGTGGGGGGCTGTTAGTGGGGGGCTGGGTTAGTGTGGGTGCTGTTAGTATGGGGGCTGGGTTAGTGGGTGCTGTTAGCATGGGGGGCTGGGTTACTGTGGGGCTGTTAGTATGGGGGGCTGGGTTACCGTGGGGCTGTTAGCGGGGGCTGGGTTAGCGTGGGGCTGGGTTAGTATGGGGCTAAGCAGGTGGTGTTAGTATGGGGACTGGGTTAGTGGGGCTGTTAGCATGGGGGGCTGGGTTAGTGAGGGGGCTGTTAGTATGGGGGCTGGGTTACCGTGGGGGGCTGTTAGTATGGGGGCTGGGTTAGTGTGGGGGCTGTTAGTATGGGGGCTGGGTTAGCGTGGGGGCTGTTAGTATGGGGCTAGGGTTACTGGGGCTGTTAGCGTGGGGGCTGGGTTAGCTAGCTGGGTTAGTGTGGGGGCTGGGTTAGTGTGGGTGGTGTTGGGTTAGTGTGGGTGGTGTTAGCATGGGGGCTGGGTTAGTGTGGGTGGTGTTAGTATGGGGACTGGGTTAGTGTGGGGGCTGTTAGTATGGGGACTGGGTTAGTGTGGGGGGCTGTTAGCATGGGGGCTGGGTTAGTGTGGGGGCTGTTAGTATGGGGGCTGGGTTAGTGTGGGGGCTGTTAGTATGGGGACTGGGTTAGTGTGGGGGCTGTTAGTATGGGGGCTGGGTTAGTGCGGGGGCTGTTAGTATGGGGGCTGGGTTAGTGTGGGGGTTGGGTTAGTGTGGGGGTTGGGTTAGCGTGGGGGCTGGGTTAGTGTGGGTGGTGTTGGGTTAGTGTGGGGGCTGGGTTAGTGTGGGGGGCCGGGTTAGTGCAGGCAGGGTGGGGGCCAGGCAGAGGCCCCCGCAATAAGCCCAGGCATGACCTCAGCAGCGCCATCTCAGGGTGTGAGAGTGGGTGATCCACACGAGGCACTCAGGTGTGGCTCGTGGCCTGGGTCCGTTGCCAGGGTCCTAATGTCAGCCCTCACGGACGGTGGGGGTGGGGGCTCTCTCCCTCTCTGCCTGTTATTCATCCCTCCCTGTTATTCACGAGCCAGGCTGACCCATGGCAGGGAGGATGGCAGAGCGTGGAGAGGCTGCCATGTGGAAGGCTGGCACCAGCCCCGTCCCCCACGGTGAGCAGCCCTTGCTCGTGGGGTGTGGAGCCAGGGAGGGGTCTGGTAGCGATGGGTACAGTCGTGATGCTGCTACTATAACAGGATTGCTGCTGAGCCGCTCTCGGAGGCCGGGACGGCGGTGCCTGGTCGTGTGAGAGGCCCGTGCTGAGCCCGGGAGGCTGAGCGCTTCACTGTTTCCACTCGGCCTGGACTCTCCCCACGGCAAGAGGGAGCGCCCTGAGGCCCCCACACTGCCCAGCCACTCAAGTCCCCGCACCCAGCCGCGACTTCTCCAGCCCCCTGCCCTGCTGTGGAGGCCTGGGCTGACTCCCACAGGGAAACTGAACTCACAGCTGCTTTGGGAAGAGCTGTCGGTAGCCCCCAAGGTACAGAGGAGCCCACTGCCTCTCGGGGGGAAGGCTGTGCTTCCTGGAGCCCTGACTGCCCCCCGCCTGGCCTCACCTCTCCTCGGCAACCTCCAGACGGCCAAGGGCCTCCTCCAGATCCACGCTGTGCTCCAGCTCCGACCTCCGCAGCTGAGCCTCGGTGGTCTCCAACCGGGCCTGCAGCTGGGGAACAGCAATAGCCCACCTGGTCTGGCTGCTCCTGAACCCGCCGGGCAGGGGCTGGGGCATCTTGGGCACAAAGCTGACCTTGGTGGGGAAGAAAGGGCTCCCTGGGGCCCCACAGCAGGGGCTGGGGTTGGGTCTGGTGAGGCCCAGGCCCTTTCACACAATGAGCCTGACAGGCAGCCTCCTGCCCTATGCCAAGTGCCCGTAGCTGGCAGAGGAGGGGAGGGGCAGGGGCACGCTGGGTTACACTGATGTGCTGATCCCATCAGATCTTGAGGACAGCGTGAGTATGGTGGCCCAGTGGGGGCATGGCTCTGGGGGCCACTGGAGCATGCCCACGTTTTATTTACAGATGGGTAAACTGAGGCCCCACTGCCCCAGCTACCCGGGCAGCCCAGCCATCAGGGCAGGGGGAGGGGTTTCAGGGCTTGCTTCAGGCACACAGGGGCCGGATGGAAGGTCACTGGGCTGTCTCTGGGGCTGCCCCCTGGAGAGTGAGTGAGTGAGTGTGGTTCCCTCCACCTGGGCCTCCCGCCTGAGTCCAGCACCTCACCTACAGGGTGCGGACCACACCCACCATGATGTGGGCCCACTGCCCAGGGCCACTCCACCGTCACTGGGCCAAGACTGAACTTAGGCCCAGGAAATCAAGGGCCAAGGATGACCCAGGTAGAAGGGTGGAGGGGAAGGCAGCAGGCCTGGTGCCTCAGTTGTGGCTGTGCCAGGGCTGAACGCATGGGAGAGCCGAGGGGCCCCTCCTCAGCCAGCAGCCGGAAGAGAAGGGGGCGTTGGAAGACCCTGGAGGAGCCGGGTGGGGTCTAGGGGTGCCACCCCAGGATGGAGATGCCACGGTCAGGCACTCTGGCCACCCAGACCCCGTTCCCCCTGTCTTGGGGGTAACTTGGAGTGAGACCCAGCCTCCTGGCACCCACACTTGGGGGTAACTTGGAGTGAGACCCAGCCTCCTGGCACCCACACTTGGGGGTAACTTGGAGTGAGGCCCAGCCTCTTGGCACCCACACTTTGCCTGCTGAGCCACTCGGGAGCTGGCGTGCACTGGGCTGCTGGCGCGTTCGGATCTGACTCATGCGGCTTACTAATCTGTCGGCAGCATTTCTGCGGCTTCTATTCCCAGCGGCCTGTTCCCAACATCTCCCCACCCTGTGCTAGGAAGATGTCTCCCCCAAGGCCTCCCCACAGCTGTAGGGGCTCCCAGGAAGAGCTGGCAGCTCACACATGCGCTGGGGCCCCCATCAGGTGGGGTGGACCCCAGGTCCTGCCCTCAGGGGCTCCCAGGGGTGCCAGCAACAATGGAAACGTGTTTCCCGTGCGGGGGTCAGGGCGTGGTAGAACTGGGTGGGGAGCAGAGAGCGGGCCCCTAGGAGAGCTGAGGGCACCCTATGGGGCTGTTGCTGTCGCTGGTCCTGGGAAGGACCCTTCCAGAAGGCGAGGCCCACTGGGGACCCCACTGGTCCCCGATACTGGCCACTGGTCACGTGGCTAAGAAGGGGCCAGATCTGGTTCAGGGGTTCAGGTCTCAGCCCCAGTAATGGCAGTGTGTCCTGCGTGATCACTGGCTGGCTCTGAGCCTTGACCTCCTTATCTGGAAAGTGGGGTCATCTGACCTGCCAGGCAGAACCGTGGGGGCTCTGAAGATGGCATGGGTGTGGCAGGGGCCCCGAGTCCCCTACAAGGTGGGCTGGACACCCCACTCCACGCACTGGCTCCTTGCCAAGTCCTGCCTCAGAAGCCAGCATGCCTTGGAGAGCCGACATAGGAGAGAGGCTCTGGCCTAGCAGGTTTCTTGACCTTTCTGCCTCGGTTTCCCTGGCTACACAATGGGAGGCCCTCCCCAGCTCCACATTTCGTGACTAAATATGCCTCTCGCTCACCTCACACGTCACCCTGGAAGGCACCACAGCCACCAGGGGACCAAAGATACAGCCCTGTCTGGCCCCTTTCCTGTCTTCTGAGGTCCAAGCGGTCCCAGTCAGCCTCAGTTGTCAGGAAAGGCTCAGGAGGCTGGGGTGGAGCCATTTCTCTGTGAGCTCCGTCTGGGGGTGGGATCAGTGCCCGCTGGCCTGCTGTCCTCTGCCGTGCAGGTGCCCACTTTGTGCTGATGCTGGGCTGAGCACTGGGCTCTGTGGGTCAGGACTGGCCAGGCCACCACACAGGGCTCCCGGGCAGGTACAGGACAAGTCAGTGCCTAAGCTGGGTTGCGAGACCTAGGGGACGTGCTGGGCATCAGGGAACGGCCTGGGCACGTGCTGCTTGGCCTCCCACCTCTCGCCTGTTATCCCACCGGTTGCTTCAGTTTCCTCATCTGTTGCCCAGGGTTTGAATGTCTGGTGGCTGACACTCTCTTTCCCAGTCTTAGAAATTGCCGATAGTCCCAGGTTCTGACTGCAGGCCCGACAAAGTGACCCCTCACCAAGGGCCAGGCTGCCCCCTCCCGCCTGTCCTGAGTCTGCTGCACACACTCACCTGCTCACTGACCAGACGGCACCTGCTGGCCAGCTCATCTCGCTCGGCGCCGGCCTGGGCCAGCAGGTCCCCCAGCCGGGTCAGCTCCTCCTGCAGGAGCTCATTCTCGTCTTGCACTCGGGCCATGGTGGCTGTCAGCTCCTGTACCCCTGCTGCACGGTACCTGGTTCAGCCTGGGTGGCCAGACCAGGGCCCACCCGCACTCAGCCTTGTGCCCTCTCTCCACGGTGGGACCCTGGGCTGACCACCGGGCTCCAGCTGCTGGACCTGCCCGCATCTCCTGGGAGGGGCCCCAGCTCTGAGCCAGGGACCCTGACATAGGGAGGCCGACTTCACACTCTGAGCCCTGCTTCTCATGTTAATTGGAATCTTACCATCTCAGAGTACCTGGAACCCCAGTGCAGACCCAGGCCCGGGCCGAGCCCTAAACCAATGGCAGCAGAGTATGTGGGCGGCCTGAACGCGGGGCACTCGCCCTGTCTGTGAAGCTGCGAGCCCTGCTGCTTCTGCGGGAAGGGACCTGGTCCCCGAGTAATAAGGTGCTTTTGTAAATACACACACAGCCAGTTCCCCGGGCCTGCAGGAGGCCGGACAGATCCTGGGAGAGAGGGATCCCTGGGACCCACGAACGGAGTCCTGGGCACACACTGAACAGGCGGCCTGGAGCTGGTTCCTCAGCCACCAGGTGGACAATTGGAGGCAGTACAGGGGCCTGGGGCGGGTGCAGGATGGGCAGAGCTCGGGGGGTGGGCGTCTGTGCTCCCTGAGTGCCAGTGTCTAGCATTTCCACGCTGAGGAAGAAACCAACACCAATGAAGCAGAGACTCATTGGTGGACACAAGGGTGCCACACAGAGGCAGCCCTGCTCAGGCCCTGCTCAGTGCCCTGTGGGTATGGATGTGATGCCCCTGAGGGTGGCCCTGTGGGGGGTGGGGCCAGCCCCCAGCCCAGGACTGTCCCCCATGCCGTCACCTTGGGGTGGCTCCTCACTCAGGCTGCCGGCCACGATCTCACGGATGTGGGTGGGCACGGGGGTGGGTGAGGCCCGCTGGCCTTCCCCACGCATGGTCAGTGCCCGGTCTTCCCTGCTGGCTGTGGGACTCAGTATGGTGTCCTCCAGTCTCTGAAAGACACCCCCAGAGATATCTGGAGATGGCAGCCCCCAGCAGCTGCCAGGCACCCCCCTACAATCCCACTGAATGGGAGCCACCACAGGGCCACCCCAAGGCAGCGGAGTGCCCTGGAGAGGACAGGGTGAGGCTGGGCAGGTCACTCAGGTGCATGCCTTGGTTCTCCACCTGTGGAGTGGGGCTGCGCCTGTCCCCAGGTTCTGGAGGGAGGACCACACCCAGCCGAGGTAGCAGGTACTGCACTTGGCGCTCTGCCCTGTCTTGGTGGGGGCTGGGCTGAGCGTTGGCTAAGCGGTCACCGGTCCCCTGGGGGATGCTGACAGGCAGGTGCCTTTGCCTCTGCTCCACAAGAAACCCAACATCCTCACCCACCTGGAGCAGGTGGTCTCACCGCTTGTTTGCACGGTGGGGCCAGAGGAGGGACCTAGACCTCACGCAGCAGTCACAGAGCCCAGTGTGTGTGTGTGGAGTGGGGTGGGGGCTGAGGACGGGTCAGAGGGCTGAGGCTGAACCCATCCTTCTCTGCTCAGCTGCCCGCTGCCCCTCCGCAGGCTCGGTCCATCGGGAGGGTGGGCAGGCCTGGGGCTGCGTGCTTGAGGCTCTGAGGATGAGCAGAGCCTGTGGAGCCCTCTCCTCCCACGGCCATGAATTCTGGGCAGAGTCTGGGACTCCCACCCTCAGGCTGCCCTCAGAGGGCTGCATGGACCAGGGCAGTGAGGGCAATGAGGACAGCGAGGACAGCCTTCCTTCCCAGGTGGGTCCTTCATGAAAGCCGACTGCCAGGGAAGAGACTCCAGTAGGCCCAGAAGTGGGCAGGAAGGCCCAGGGCCTGAGCTCACACTCGGGAGGTGTGTGCTGAGTGGCTGCCCTGCTGCCCCAGGAGCCCCTGGGTGTCCTGGGTATCCCAGCCTGGTTTTGAGGGTCTTGGGCCCTAATGGCATTTTGCTGGGCAAGGGCACAGCTTGGGGAGGGCCGAGGCACCAGGGCAGGGGACTCCTGCCAGGTGGAATAGATTACTGACTGTGGGCAGGACACACAGGGCCCTGTGAACACGGAAGTCGACTGTGCCAAATCAGCAGAAGCCCAGGCAGGATCCCGCAGGAATACACAAGGCCACAGCTGTCCCCTGGCCTGCTGCCTTAAGGATATCTAAATTTCAGGCAGTGAATTAACTACTAAAGGGTGACTGGATGCTTGCCAGGGGAAGCTGGGAGGGGATGTCCACTCCTAGGGGCTCTCCAGCACGACACTCCAGAGTCTGCCCAAGTCCTCCTTGCCTGGCTCCCACGTCAGCATGGAGGAACCCCTCCCTGGGGTCCGCAGAGCTGCTCCCCCACCTTGTGCCTCCTGGATCTTCCTCCTGCCCAGGGTCCTTGTGGGTGACCACCTGGCGGCCTCCTGCCTCCCATCTTCTCTTGGCCCTCCCTGAGACCCTGCTTGCATCCCCAGATTCTGACCTCAGGCCTGGGCTGGTGGCTGTGCCCTGCTCTCCAACCCCGGCCCTCCTCCTGACCCCAGCCAGGCCTTCTGCACCTGGTGTGTGCTGTCCCGGCTGTCTCGGATGCTCCCTGGACACAGGCCTCATCCTCCATCTGCACCCCAAAGATCTCAGCCCCCCTTGCCAGGGCTGGAGAGTCACCACAGACCCAGGCTCAGCATGGCGCCTGGAGAGGCCCTATTCTGACCCTGCTGCCCTGTGAAGGTCAGCCACTCAGCAAATGCCTCCCAGTGCGAGCCCAGGTCCGGGGCCAGCCAGCCCTCCTCCAGACAGCTCCAGAGTCCGGAGATACACCAGAGTCTGCATCTCAGTCCCCTGGGAGGTCTTGGGAGGCCTCTTCACTGCAGGTTCCCCGGCTGCCTCTTCTTCTGGAGGGAGTAATGGCCCCCCTTGGGAGCAGCAGCCCAGTGGGGCAGGGGGAGGGACGTCCCTGCTCCTCCTCCTGGGCCCAGCTGGGACCCAGGTGCCAAGACCACCAACCAGGAGGAGAGCTGCCCGAAGGGGCTCCGCTATTCTGTTCTAAACCCCTTATTTTGTACAGCGGAGAATGGAGGCCCAGCAGGGTGGCAAGAGGCACCCCAGGCCCCTTGATCAGAGACCGTCAGGCCACGCTCAACCCCCCAGGCCAGGAAGGGCTCTGCCGCGCCCTCCGCCTGCTCAGCAGCTCCCGCCCTGCGCTCCCCCGGGCATCAGCGGCGCCACCCGCTAACGGGAAGGCAGCAGCGTGGCGTAAACTTGACTCATTCCTAACATTTACAGAGGGTCACTTATTAGCGGGACGTCCCGAGAGGCGCTGGGGCCTAATGGGTTCCATCTGTGGACGGGTGCCTGCAATGGGCCGCGGCCCAGCTGGAGCCGGAGGGGGGCGCGGGGAGCGCGGGGGGTGCAGGGGGCGTTCAGGGGGGCGGAGGACGCAGGGGGCGTGGAAGGGGCGCGGGGGGTGCAGGGGAAGCAGGAGGCATGGAGGGGGCGCGGGTGACGCAGGGGGAGCGCAGAGGGGGGCGCCGGGGACGCAGGAGGCGTTCAGGGGGGCACGGGGGGGGTAGGGGACGCAGAAGGGGGCAAGGGGAACAGAGGGGGCCAGCAGGGGGTCGTGGGGGGACGCAGAGGGGGGTGCAGAGGGACGCAGAGGGGGCGCAGGGGGCGTGACTTTGGAGTGTGAGGGCAGCGCCGCCCCCACAGAACCACCGGAGGAGAGAAGGGCTGAGGGAAGGAGCAAGCAGGAGAAACAGGAATGGGAGGGGAGGAGAAGGAAGGGGAGAGAAGGGGAGGGGAGGGGAGGGGGGGGAAGGTGGGGGTCGGCGTGTCCGGAGGCCTGTGCCGCCAACCTAAGCAATTGGGACCCACCCGAAGCTGCCTCCTTCCCCGTGGCTCCAGGGTGGTCCTGAGGGTCTGCACCGCTCACTCCCGAGGCCCCTCCCCGGGGCTCCGCGCCGCCACCTGCGCCAGCGGGTCCGGGCCGGCATTCCCTCCGCAGCCTGTGGGTCCTTCTGGGCCTGCCCATTTCCTGCCCAGGGCCTCTGAGGGGTGGGCCCAGGCTGTGGCCCAGGTTGGATTGGGGGCTTCTATTCTAGAAGGCCTTGTGGTGGGATCTATTCTAGAAGGCCTCGCTGTGGGAGGGAACACCAGGGCTGGAGGTCACTTTCCCTTAAGGTTCCAGACTCACAGTTGAGCCCGGTGTATCTTCCTCCTGCCCCCAGCACCCTCTTCAGCTCAACCTGCATTAAAGACCCCAGGGAGGTCACAGCCCCTGCGTGGAGCTACCCTAGGGGCAACTGGCCTGCTTAACCCGATCCTGGCCCTGAAGGGGGTGGCCCAGCAGGGAGAGCCAGCGGGTCCTCACCACTGCACCACCCCATTTGGTTGTGTGGAGAGGGACGGCTGAACCTTGGGGGAAATGTGGGCTCCCCATTTCTCTGCCTCTCCAGGGTCAGAGCAGGGCTCCCCTCTAAGAGAACTGGGCTGGGTTCCTTGCTACGCCACCAATAAACAGAGACGCTGGGTATGTTACCCCCCACCTCATGTCCCCATCTGTAAAATGGGAGCATTGGCAATCCAGGCCCTCCTGGGTCCCAGGGCCAGGGGCTGGGGCTCTGTGAGGGTGCAGTGGATGGACCACGTGTGGCCTCAGCTGCCTGCCCCCAACTGGCCACCAGCTCCTGGGAAATGCAAGCTGCTGGAATCTTGCCTGGAGGCAAATGATCTCCACCCTCTGAAGGATACAGAATCCTCCTGTGGATCCAGGGCTCCACCTGCACTTTGGCACTTGCTGGAGACCGGGGGTTTCAGGGCTGCTGCCAGGGACTCTCCTCTTACACCCCTTCCCCATTCCGGGGTCTTGGCCAAGATCCCGGAATGGGGGGCCGGGAGGTCGCTTTATCATACTCTATGCTGCAGATGGGGAAACTGAGGCCAGGGACACGACACCAGCTCTCCACTGGGGTGCGGTGGAGCCAGAATGCACCTGCCAGCCTGTGCTGCCTGCAAAAGGCTTCCACCTGCAGGGAGGGTGCAGGGACTCTAG